GATCTCAGCTCACTGCAAGCTCTGCCTCCCAGGTTTACGCCATTCTCCTGCCTCAGCCTCCCCAGTAGCTAGGACTACAGGCACCCGCCACCTCGCCTGGCTAGTTTTTTGTATTTTTTTAGTAGAGACGGGGTTTCACCGTGTTCGCCAGGATGGTCTTGATCTCCTGAGCTGGTGATCCGCCAGTCTCGGCCTCCCAAAGTGCTGGGATTACAGGCTTGAGCCACCGCGCCCGGCCTCAACTGCGTTTCTTAAACCAGCAACAAGTCAAAACTAAGACTAACAGACCCCATGTACAACGGCGTGGAAAATACTAACTAGGTGGTAATACATGAGATGGAAGGCCTCTACAGAGATCATAAAGAACAGCTAAATAGATCTGCCCACACCCACAAATTCTAAGATGCAATATGAAGAGGACAACACCCCAGAATGAACTGCAAATTCGGCTCAGCCTTAAAATCCCAGCAGGCAGGCTCTATGTGTTTAAGAAGTAAGTACAGAAGACACAGGTAGACGTGTGAAGGGACAAGAAGAGCCAGAGATGATCCCAGAGAAAAATACAGTGGGAGAGTTTGCTCCGTCAGCTAACAAGACTTAGAAATAAAGTGACAGGAACTGACTTAGTGGGTTATTAGCACATCAATATGTAAATGACCAAATGAACAGAGAACAGCCCAGAAACAGATCCACAGCAGAAGTTACAGTGCAGATCAATGGAAAAGGACAGTCATTTCAATCAACGTCCGGTGCTGGACTAACTGGACATCCACGTGGAAAATTAGACTCTCTGCTTCACACAATCAATTCCACACAGACTGAAGATTCAAGTGCAAAAGGCAAAACCGTACAGCTACGCCAAGATAACCCAGGGAGTGTTTCGGGCATGTCCCTTGGGGACACAATAGGCACCAATGATAGTGGGCAGATGAATACACCATCTACGTAAAAACTAGGAGTTTCTATTAATCCACGATTCCAGGAAGAGGCTGGACGCACGGATCACACCTGTAATCCCAACACTATGGGAGGCCAAGGCAGGAGGATCACTTGAGGCTAGTTCAAGACCCGCCTGGGCAATATAGTAAGACCCCCACACCATCTTCATACACACGCACAAAAATTAGCCAGGCGTGGTGGCAGAGCATCTGTTGTACCACCTAGTACAGAGGTTGAGGAGGGAGGACTGTTTTAGCCCAGGAGTTCAAGGTTAAAGTGAGCTATGATTATACCACTAGACTCCAGCCTGGGTGACAGAGTGAGATGCCGTCTCAAAAAAAAAACCAAAAAATGAAAAACAAAAGCCGGTCATGGTGGCTGACGCCTGTAATCCCAGCACTTTGGGAGGCTGAGGTGGGTGGATCACGAGGTCAGGAGATCAAGACCATCCTGGCTAACACGGTGAAACCCCATCTCTAGTAAAAATACAAAAAATTAGCTGGGTGTGGTG